CGCTCCCGCCGGGACCCGGCCCGGCTGCGGGGCGCCCAGGAGCGCAGACGTGCTCCGCTCGCAACTCTTTCACGTGATTTCATTGTTAACTTCGTCCCTGGGTTCCGTGTTCCCGTCCGGTGGGAGTCGCCGGGCCGCCCCCCGTGTCTGCAAGCAAGCCGCAGGCTGGTGCCAACGCCAAGTTGTTGTTTTTTAAAGTTTTTCTCGCTCTTTTAAAAAAGAGAGCGCGAAGCTGTGTCTGGGGGTGGAGGGGGGTGGGGGTGGCGGGGAAGGAGGCCCGGGAGCAGCGAGGGGGCAGTTTCCCGGAGTTGGAGTTGAAGTCTGCAGGCGCTGTGCTCGCCGCAGACCCGGGGCCCCTGCGCGGAGCCAGGAGGCAGGCGGCGGCTGTCATTCATTCTCTCTTCTTACCTGCGGGGCAGGTGAGCCGGTGCGGGACGGACCCGCCGCTGAAACTCGGGCTGGGGCCGCTCCTTTCTTTCCGCGCAGAGTCCCCCCCATAATGAACTTCTCCGACTAATGCTCTTATGATTTCTGTCCTCTCGAGACGCTTCTCACCCAAATGTAGCTTAGTTCTCTCCGGGGGGTGGGGGGGGCGCTTTTCAGCCAGAGCTCATTTAAAAATTAAGTCTTGCCTTAGGTTTGAGTGTTTACTGGAGCCTTTTCTTTCTTATCAGAGTTAATAGTACTATCGGTTTCCTCGCATCTTGTTAAAACTTTTTCTTTTGAGTTTAGTGGCACTCTTTAAGGAAGGATTGCTGTAGTAACCACTTTACCACATTATTTATGTTGTAAAGGCTCCTCAGAATAAGAGTTCTCAGGAACATTTAGGTAAGGTTAGATTTATTTTTGGAAGCAAAGGAGTTATAGGGTTCTTTATTTTGGTGATTTTTAAAAAGATGCAAATCTGCCCGGTTCTTTTGTTTGAAAGTGTTACTGACTTTGATCGTGGAGTGGCAGCGTGTATATACATAATGTTTGTGTGTTTTTTTTCATTAATGTTCACTTCAGGACAACAGTCTTGAATCATTATGAGATCTTCTCTTTACACGCAGGCAGTATATTTCCCCCCTCTGAACTCTACATTTGATATGTAAATAAGTGTACGTTTGAACCTAGGAATTTCCGGGCCATTCTCATTTCTAGTTTCTGTATCTGTAGATTGCTTGCGAACACTTTGACAGTTGTTGGACTCTCTCCAATATATTGAATGTTACTAGGAGAAGCTATCACAGCATGTGATTCTTAAAATCTGAATGGAATTGGCTTATTTTAAAATTCTTTATAAACACTTTTCACACTTGACTATTTTCATTGTTATTTTGTTTCCACTTGGAATGTTTATAGTAATACTGTACTTAAAATATGAACTGTGCTGTGTGTAAATTTTGTTTCTTTTACTAGATGAAACAGCTAAAACATTTTCTCAGTGGTTTTCTGCCTTTCTTATTGACTATTTTCATCCAGTCTAAATATCTGGAATTTTGAAAGATGAAAGATTCACTCTTACTTTCATTGCAGGATTCTTTCTACTAATTCAGGTAACTTGTTGAAGTTCTGATTAGTTTGTTGGGGAAAGCTGTCAAGGAAGAGTTTTAGTTCACAGACGGGTGAGCGGAGATTGTGCAGAGCAGAATAGCCAGCACCCTCTCGTTAGTTATAGCCTGAGGTCATTTACAGTGCATCTCATCTTGTTTCCTTCATTTACAGTGCATCTCATCTTGTTTCCTCATCATTCATCTTTTTTCCCCTTTTCTTTGTAATCCCAATGGTTTGCACAGATGATTGTTTTGAACAATAATAGAAACATGTTCACACTTTTACAGGTGCTCAGTGAACACTTGCTGTTGGAGTGCTTTAAAGGCTAGGATGCTTCAGTTATAACTTACTTATAAAGTGGACCTTGATAGAAAACTGACTTTGTTTTCATTGTTTTTCAGGCATAAGAAGAACATTTTTCTGCTGGGAATGAGATGTTCTTGAGTTCTTACACCTTTATGAAGAGACCCACATGTGGTGCTATTGAGAAGGTTGTTGGGAAGTTTGAAGACTTTTCAGATAACAGGTTGTTTTGGTTTCTAAAATAAAAGTGGGGAGGCATCTGTTTTGTGAAAGGAGAAAGGACTGAGGCCAGAAAACTTGTATGCTATGGTTAACTGGTTCCCAGCCGCCGGGAATGGTGTTTTCTGTGGTGTGAAACTTACGCAGCATCAGGATAAAGGATAGCGACTCTATGGATATACAGAATCCTTCACCATGGTAAAACTCGCCAACCCGCTGTACACGGAGTGGATTTTGGAGGCCATCAAAAAAGTGAAGAAGCAAAAACAGCGGCCTTCAGAAGAAAGGATATGCAATGCAGTGTCTTCATCCCATGGCTTGGATCGTAAAACTGTTTTAGAGCAACTAGAGTTGAGTGTCAAGGATGGAACAATTTTGAAGGTCTCAAATAAAGGACTCAATTCCTATAAAGATCCTGATAATCCTGGGCGAATAGCACTTCCTAAACCCCGAAACCATGGAAAATTGGATAATAAACAAAATGTAGACTGGAATAAACTGATCAAGCGGGCAGTTGAGGGCTTGGCGGAGTCCGGCGGCTCAACTCTGAAAAGCATTGAACGTTTTTTGAAAGGTCAGAAGGATGTGTCTGCATTATTTGGAGGCGGTGCTGCCTCTGGCCTTCACCAGCAGTTACGATTGGCTATTAAACGCGCCGTTGGCCACGGCAGACTCCTTAAAGATGGACCTCTTTATCGGCTCAACACTAAAGCAGCCAGTGTGGATGGGAAAGAGAGTTGTGAGTCTCTTTCCTCCTTACCTCCCGTGTCGCTGCTTCCACATGAGAAGGATAAGGTAAGAAGGGCATGCGCATCAGTGTTCCTGGAGCTGGGGAAACAGCAAACAGCATGCTACAGAGCCACATTTCTAGGCTGTTCAATAGCGGTTACATTCGGCGTTCAGGGCCCTTTGTGGATAATCACTGCCTGGCTTTTATTGGTGAAATCTAGGTGTGAGAACTCAATAGATGTGATTGTTCTCATACTTTGACATATTTGATGCCTAAGATTTCAAAGTGTAGAGTATTGATCTGCCCAAAAGAACATACTTAGAATTAAAAAGTAACAAGCAACTTTAAAACTGTCATGTAAAAGTTTTTATAATAGCTTCCTGCTGAAGTTGCTGAGCAGCCGAATGCTGGAAACTCTAAGAACCTGTCTTCTTCCTTTCTTCGTTTTCTTACTGGCCAGGAATGAGACCGATTATCCTGACCAAAGTAGTGGCAAAGCAGATTTAGCAATTCTTATTTCTGCTGTTTGTATTCTAATTTTGGGTGTGTGTTATTTTTTTGCAAGCGGTAAAGTCCTAAACGTTGCTCGTGACAGATGTAGCTGCGTGGGTCAGGAACACAGTAGTCCGCGTTGCTGAAGTTCTGGGAAGCCAGGAGTCTTGGTGCAACAGGTACCTGCCTGTGCTGGGTTTTATGCCGTTCCTTAGTACGGCTGAAAGTATCTTCTAAGGGCTAAGTTCACCTTGGCCCTAAGTAGATATTCGGGATGCGGAGAGCTGTTAGTAGCTCCTTTTCACATTGGCCTGGTGTGAGGGCTGTGAATGTATTCCAGGTGCTCACGTTGTAGTTCTGTGGGGAGTGGCTGTACTTTGAGGTTGCTGCACACCTTAGCGCCGGTAGCATCACCTTCATTTTGCTGAAGCCCGTGGAGGCTGTTTCTAGCATGCTAACATTCTAACGTTAATCACATTGATTGTATTTTAAATGTATTTTAAAATATTTGAGGTTTGATCTAGATTCTTGCAATTAATAACCTGCCAATAGATTTTTGTTTAAATAGCAATTGAAAATGAACAGTTTTTTTGGATGGAAGTTTTAGAGATCTATTTTTTTCCCTGTGGACTTTGAAATAGAAGCATTATCTTAACTGTTATTACCCTTAAAATGATTCTAATGGAGTCTTGAATTAATAGGCAATCCCATTCATAACATGGTTCTGTACCATCGGAGCATTCCTTCAGGGTGTATTGAAAATTCAGGGTGGACACGAAACTGAAATACGTCATTCTTTCAGCTCAGTGCTGTAAGGATGTATGAATTGTTTCTTGATCCCATGGCTGAAGTTAAATGGAATAGAACAATTGATTTCAACAACTGTTATCAGATGATCTCTAGGTTTACTGCATGGAAATGGGAAATACTTTATAGTTTAGAATGAAATCAGTGTCACATCTGTGAATCGGGTATTGTAAATTCTTGTTAGAACTCCTGAGTGCTTTAATTTCTCTTGCTTGAATTAGGTATTTTAATTTTTAAAAATGTTAACCATACATAAAATGTCAGTTGTGCATATCTTTTTTTTAAAGGTAGTCGACATAGTACAGTGTAGGACAAAACTGAGTCTTGACACCCTAAAATTGTACTTTTGAAAACCATGTAATCCAACAGTCCTTATTTTGCTGCTAGACTGGAGACCTTTGCATTAAAAAATATTTAATCCATTCGAGGTCTTCTAGTTTGCTTTGGTTAGAAATTTCTCTTTGGCTACATATTACACTATTGTAAAGCAAAGTGACTGTGGAAAAATTGAGTTTTGTTGAGTAGATTTTTGTGTATTTGTACTGGTCTGATTGGGAAGACGGTTTATGGTAGTTATCTACAAAGTTAGGGTTAATGAGATCTGTTATATATTTTTTAATAGGAGTCTTATTTTCAGGGGTTAAGTTTTCTGTGTGACTTTCTCCAAAGATATGAAAAGCTCACATTAAAGATCATAATGCAGTAAACTTCAGGGCAGGGAATTATTCCTCCTATGAACAGATTATGTTTGTTCCTTTTGTTGTATTTAACTACTGTCTTCTTTTGTAAAAAACTTCAGTCAGTTCCCATTTGGAATTGATTGATGGCTGTTATGAACCTAGATGTTCTTTAAAAAATTATCCAGGTTGTATTTGATAATACAGGTAATTATCAATTCAGCAGATAGTTACTGCCGGGGACCGGGCGCTCTGCTTGGAGCTGCAGGGGCCTCACCTGGGGTCTGCCGTGCGCGTGTCCCTGCTGGTCTGGTCGGCTCTGAGTGAGAGAGCAAGTGCTGGGACTGTGGAGTAGCCTGAGCAAGCTCCCCTTTACTTTTTTCTGTATCAGCTCTAACTTTTAATTTTTTTTTTTAATTGTGATGTTAACCTTTGGAAGGAGCTATATGTTAACTTTTCAGCAACTGAGTAGTTTTTGCTTTGCTCTGAAAGTGAGATGGCTGTGTATAAAAAATCTTGAGAGTTTTTGTGAAGACACTTGGACTAAAGTGTGTTTTCAGGTTGATAACTAGGAGAATCTGGAGATACTGTGATTGAAAAGTTTTATCCATGTTATGAGGGAAATTTTGTGCTAACTTAGGGTGTGGTAGTTTATGGTGAGTTTGTTTAACTTGATGATTCGTTTATACTGTGCGCCAGGCATTACCTTACAGCCGCACACAAGTTAACTCGTGATCCTCATACGGCTCAGTGAGATAGGTGCTGTTATTTTACAGGTGAAGAAGTCGAGGCGTAAGAGCTTCAGTAATTTGTCCAAGTCACAGAGGTGTTAGGTGGCAGACAGGGCGAGGTTTGGGACTTGGGCATCCTGGCTCCAGAGTGTTTGTCACGGAGATGCCTGCTGCCTCCTGAGAGTCGTTCGGTGTCACGCCTGTCCCTGCTCTTGGGTCCCGTTGTGAGTGTTCCTGGTGTTAGCTGCGAGGCACGTGGGAGAGGACATGTCCCGAGCTCCCCTTTCACTGTTTGCGTCCCTTTCTTCTCTTTCTGTCATAGAATGGATTCTGAATTTGATTTCAAACCAGCAGTAAGAATGTAGCAGAAGTAAAAGATTATGAATAATTTATTTTTGTATAGCTGAGATCCATAACTAAAAAACAGTTTGGTCTATGTGACTTTTTTTTTCCCCCTTAAAGTTATTTTTCTGTGTGTATTAATTTTCATTTCAGATGGCCCTGGAGTCTTCTGATTTGTAGTTTGGGGTCTGTTGCGTGGCTATAATAGAGTGCTTTAATTTGGGACAGAATGTTGCTTTCCCTTGAATTATGGGCTATAGGTGAAGGTGATGTGTATAATTGCTTATAGGCGGAGGTGGTGTGTGTAACTGGCTTAAATAAGAACTTCTGCTTGCAGGTTTCCTTTTTTTTTTTGAAATAGACATTACTGTAAGAAAATGTGTTCATTTACTTTTATTTATTCAGTAGTGTTTAGGTGCCTACCACGAATAGTGCATTTATGATTTAGGTCCTGTTGGGGATTAAGGCAGACAGCATAGAAATGGGCAATAACTTTTTTTACACTGTTGTTTTAGTTCAAAAACTATAACTTTTAGTTTTTACATTCACTGTTTTTTGGCGTGTGTAACAATTAGGTGCTATGAATCTCTTGAGAAAGAATAAGATGTTTCCTGGGTGAGGCTAATTATTACCTGAGATTTGAATGGTCCACTAAAAGAATTACTCTGGACACTGAATCTTGGAAGGATCCATTTCCCTTTCAGGAATAATTTTCACCTTCATTTCAAATTTCTGGGTTCATTTTACACACAGAACAATGTACCTGAATATCTTTATTTTATGTTCCATATTACTAATCCAGAAAACTGCTCCTGTGGTGATCAGCCAGATGAGGAAACTGTTAATCTGTGGAGTATTGTGGAACAGAATTATATTTTGCTGAAGCATTCCAGTTGGGAAGGGAAGAGAAGATACGGTCAACCAATGTTATTGTTTAGGTCATTACCCAGCTAAGTGACTTGGAGCCAGAAGATTAAATGATAAATTGCTAGCCTTCTAAGATAAGTTGTATTGAAATTCAGTAAACTCTTAGTAGAGTCCAAGTTATTCTATGTAACTGGAACTTGGCATTTTAAGTGCATAGAATAAATGAGGCTTTGACAGGAACTTTGATTTTTGATGTAGAGATGCTGATTAGAATGGAAATATATTTTCAAGTTAGGAGAGTTAAGAATGAGAGTTTTGACTTAGCTATTTGGAAATGGCCTTAGTCATAAAATTGTTTCACATTTTATAGAGTAGTGGATCTGATAAAATTGTTTATAAATGTAAGCTTGATAATGTTTTCAGATATTTTGTTGCTATGGTACTTTACAGTAATCGTCCATGCTGTTAAATTCAGGGGTGTGTTTACTGCTTGGCAGGATGATTGTCTACTTAAAACATGCACACACATAGCAAATACCAAAAAGTGTAGACGCTACAGAAAAGTTGAGATGACGTAAATTAGTAGTAAAAAGTGGAAAAAGTTCTCAATTTAAAATCCTTATGAGAGCATGCAAGCAAGTGTATTTTATAGTATAATTATTGGGAAACTCTTTAAGATGCAAGTTTTAATTCTAATTCTGTGGGAGAAGGAATGGAGGATAATGACAACTGTATCACTCTTTAAGTGAAGAAGGATTACTTTAGAGAAAATTATCCTAACCATATGTTGCTGACTTTTTTTTTTCTTCAAGTAATGGCAAGGATACAGCAACATGAATAATGTAGATTTTGTAATGTCAGCAAGTTTGCAACTGATTGATCTCAATAATTGTTATTTTCTTACATTATAGTTAATTACATTAGTTGTAATTACAGTATCGTACATTTCTTACATCACTGTTTATATGATTTTTTGATGACCCCTAAGTATCCTGGGTCCTGAGGAGAAGCTGGCTAGAAATAAAAATTTGTTACTAACAAGTCATTGAGGTGGGTTAAATATAAATGTGTGTGTGTGCATGTTAGTCGCTCAGTCATGTCGGACTCTTTGTGAGCCAGTGGACTGTAGCCCACCAGGCTCCTCTGTCC